TCTGTTTGTGGGACCTCAAGAGCAAACAGTCTGTGTGCAAAACACAGCATTTTGTGCTCAATCCCTATGTGAAATTCTTAATATGTACCACTAAGAATACTAACTTTGTATTTATTCTAATAAAACAGACAGTTGTTGCAATAATACATTTGTAAATGGCCTACTACTGTTTATCTCAAGATTCTTTTGTTGTGGTGTTTGGATTTTGTTTGTTTGTTTGTTTATGGTTTTGTTTTGGTTGTGGGGGATTAGCAGAGAAGGAAGGAAGGAAGGAGGAAGATAAAAATCAAGGCAAAAACTCTGTAATGGCATCCACAGGGTTTTGAATGCATTGTACAGCCATTACATAAAAACATAGTCTGTGATGTTTTCAAAATCCTAAAATATATGTAGGCAACATTTAGGCAATTTCCACTCAGCATGCAGGTAATTGAGGGACTGCATATGTTTACAAAAATATGTGGAGAATGTCAGTGACCGATGTGTTATTCTATAGTATTTCCAGAAATGAGGGATAAAACATCTGAGAACCAACTTCCCTGCTGAAAAGGAGTAAGGACAGGAAAACGGTTGATTTCAGCAAACTTTTGAAACACTGAAGAAGCAGAGAAGACTGATAGCAGAATTGAAATGTTTAATTGTCAATCAGCTTTTACTACAAATTATTTATGGGGATAGAGGGAAGACATAAGTCCTCCTTTAAAAAAAACCAAAACAACAAACAAATAAAACAAAGGGAAACATAGAACTAAGATAGTTTATTAATAATTTACCCTGATTCAATTTACCGCATGAATAGTTTTTCTTTCCCATTTAACAGCGTAGCGAAAAATGGTGCTGTTTGCAATGCAGCTCAGGAGATCACCTATGTCATCAGACCTAGGTACTTCTGCATCTCTCTTTATCAGAATAATTCAGGCTGGTGCCCCTCGCTTCAAGAAGAGAGAAGACTGGTGATGAGGTGTGTTCCCTTAAAGCACCTTCAAAATGAATCTAAGCCGTCCCCACTCAGAAGCAATCCTGGTCTGGTAGCTTTCAAAACACACCATATGGTCATGTATATGGAAAATCAGTTTTGGGGGCTTTCCATCTGAGGTTCTAGAAGAATAGTGTTACTTTAGTCTGTTTAATTGTACTTAACCTACTTAGATCACAGGAAGCTTTGATTTAAACACCTTTATGTTTATTAAACTGTGGGAAGTGCTACAGTCATTGAATTTTTTTCTGGTCAAAGGAGTAGACAGCAGGTTTGCTTGCACATCTTTCCAACAGGTAACAAAGTAGACAGAAACAAGTTTCCAGTAAGTTCATTTTTCAAAAGTTATAATATTAAATTGACTTTCAGTCAATTATATTAATATATTAAATTGACTTTCAGTGATACTTAGATTGCAAAGCCATTGAGATAACTTTTCTGAATTTTACCTTATACCTCATTAATAATAAAAAAGAGGCATTAAAATCTGTCAGACAGGAAATATAGATCTCTAATGACATCAAGCATGACTCCATTGCTAGTTAGAGCTGAATTTTTTTCCTAGCTACTAAAAACCAAAGACACATTTTACAACTCTTTAGATTGAAGTGTCAAGCCAATTGCAGTTTATCTGTACTATATGTTATTGCTAAGTCTGATACAAAAGTGGGTCACAGCATACTAGATTATAGCTCATTCAAAGATAGAACAGGTAACAATCATGTATTTTTGAGAGAGCATCTAAATGCACATATATTTTCATATAGCACTGAAGTCAAAAGGCAGTGGAGGCAAAAAATTGCAGGAAAACCTCCAAACTTTGCAAATGCTTGTTCAAAAAATATTAAATCTTTTGAGAATAGGCAGTAGAATGAATCACCATTGTAAGTACAACAACAGGGAATTACCCTTCTAGCACATATTGATAAAGTCGACATGATAATTTAAATGTGTAGTTATCTATATGTGTATGAGTGCACCTAGGACTTCACACACGAAAAATCAGATTAGTCAAGAGTTTTCAATTTGCTTTCAAATTTCTTTACTGTTTGACTTGCTTTAGCTATGGGTAAGGGTTATCTGCACTAACTGCAGATGAGCATTTAAAAAAAATAGAGGCTTTCTCCTGTCATCTAAGTAACCATCTCTTTCCCTGAAAGTAGAATTATAATTGACAATATAAAGAATAAAGAAGCAGCAATACATGTGCAAGAAAGAGGGAATGACCCCACCTCCTTTACTTCAATTTATTTAATTTTTTTCTTGGGATATTCTCTGTACCCAGCCTCCATCTGTTGTCTGCATGCTGGCATGTGGATACCAGTCCTTGGACCTTGTGGCTTCATGGTTTGATTACGGGATACCTTAACATGTACAGGCCATCAATGTGAAGCTCGTTTCCATGTAACAACACTGGGATGACGTACTGGGCTATGGCCGAGGTGGGTCCAACTGGAACTGGCTATGCCCTTTCCTTGTAGAGGCCAACCCTGCAGCCCCGCAACTGCCAACAACTTGCCATGCAATCCAGAAAAGAATTGTGCATCAGCAAGTACACAAGTCACTGTAGATCATCTTCAGACTACCCTAGGCACAGCAAAAGACTCGACTGTATGGTCCAATACACAGATAGTTGATCTGTGTGGTAAGTCTCTTATTTCAGCAGAGTTTTAGTCTCTCCACTCATATGACTGAATAAACACTGATTTTCTTAAATATCATATAAATCATATAAATCAGCTTCAGTTAAAAATATATCCATAGATACTTATTTTTTTTCAAGACATTAAATAGTTTCATATGCTCAGTGAGCCTAGGACTCCAGAAGAGTTCAGTGTGAGTTCCTGGAGTACAATGAATATTAGCTTATGCCATAACTTGGTTTATGACACTCACATTTCAAATTTTTAGTTCATCAAAACACACATAGAATAAAATTATGTATATTACAGCTCTATTTCATGTTATCATTCTGGAGATGTTGTAAATAAGAAGTAACT